AGCTTCCTCTCTACTCCCTTGCCTATCTGTGGCTCTCGTCTGTGACACTGTCTACTGAAGTGGCCCAGCTTTCTACAGTGGAAGCAATTCTGACCTCCTTTATTACCTTTGGGTGGCATTGTATATCAGTAAGACTTCCTTTTCCTGACACAGGCCCTCACTACGGTTTTCTGATGCAAGATCTTTTCTCATCTCTGAGAATATTACTTATAATATCTGTGCATCTTAGAAGAAATAACGTGACTGATAGAGGCTGCGGGAATCAATCTTGACTGTCAGGTAATCAGTTGGCTGTGTATCACAACCAAGTGTTCATTCCTCCTCTCTAGTGTTCAGGGGACAAATTATATCTTGTGGCATATAAGGCCTAAATGGGCAAGTATTCATGAAAGAGAGAGACATCATTAGAGATGAGTGACATTTTAAAAAAGTAGTTACTGTGGTGTACTGACATTTTCACTTCTCAGAGCAGATGGCTTAGGAGGACTCTAAATACTTCTATTCCAACAAACATCTGGATATTCAAGGTTACAGGGAAAAGAAATACCTAGTACCTTAAACCTGGAAGACAGAAATGACAGCCTCCTTTGATAACTGATAAATATCAAATATTGCTATCCAATTGTGTTCAACCTCTTTGCTAATTGTTAATTCATGCCACCAGAGTGAGTTTCTCTTAAACCTGAGACAGTATCTATAAATCTCTGTAACAGTAAGCAAAACTGTGCCTGGTACCTGAGTATATCCTCAAAAATATATAAACAATAAATTATTTTTATTAAAAAAGGAAAATATGAATTGTAAAAGATAGCAGCTTGTGAAAGTGGTGCTCTGCATGGTTCAAAATTGGAAAGGGTATATGTGAGGGATGTGTCCTATCTCCATACCTTTACAACCTATATGCAGAACAGATTATCCGGGAGGTTGGGCTCAATGAAGAGAAATGTGGCATCAGGATTGAAGGAAGACTCATTAACAATCTGCATTACACAGATGACACAACCTTATTTGCTGAAACTAAAGATGACCTGAAGTGCTTGCTGCAGAAGGTCAAGGACTGCAGCCTTCAATATGGATTGAAGCTCAACATCAAGAAAGCAAAGATTCTCAACACTGAGCCAACCAGCAGCATCATGATAGATGAAGAGATAGAGATTGTTTAGAGCTTTAGTGTTCTTATCTCCACAATTAACACTCTTGGTACCACCAGCCAGAAACCTCTCCAAAATACTGAAAAGCAATGATGTCAATCTAGAGACTAAGGTGCACCTGATCCAGGCCATAGTCTTTGCAATTACTTGCTATGCACCAGAAAGCTGGACAATGACAAGAAATGATAAAAAATAAAAATGATGACATTGAGCTGTGGAGCTGGAGAAGAGTACTGAATATACCATGGACTGTTAAGAGAACAAACAGGTTTGTCCTGGAGAGGGTTAAACCAGGCTTCTGAAGATTTGTCTGACCTACTTAGGACATAATCCACGGCCCTGTTTTTGTTCAGTCTTCTGGGTCATATAGCCCTGGTGTGTCTGGTTGCTGTACAAAGGTAACCTTTGGTTGCTGTGAAGCTAGACACTATGACAATGAAGTGTCAAATGCAGTAATGGTTACCCATGGTGGACAGTGTTTGGTGGCGCTCCCCGGTTGAAACAAGCTTGGAAGCAGGAGCGGTATCCACTTCTGTAAATAGCTTGCCTCCAGAAACCCTATAAACCTGGAGAAAGGATGAAAGTCATGCACACAAGTGTCGAGGACTTTCGTTCATAGGGTGGCTATGAGTCGCCTACGACTCAATGGCACTTAACAACACCACCACCACCACTTTGGACATGTTGCAAGAAAGGTAGAGGGACAGTGCAAGAGAGGAAGACCTTTAATGAGATGGATTGATTCAATGACTGGGGTTATAGGGATAGGTGTGTCAGAGACTTATTGGCACAGGATAGGGCAGGGTTTAGGGCTGTTGTACAAAGGGTCACTATGAGTTGCAGACAACTTGATGGTACATAACAACAATAACAACAAGAGAAGAATTGGCGCTTTGGTGGTCCAGTTGCAGCTGCACTGCAATCTGAAAAGCATGTGGTTCAAATCCACCAGCTGCTCCACAGAAGGATGGGCAATCTCCTCTCATGTGATTTACTGCCTTTGAAAATACACTGGAAGGTCAGCTACGGGTTGGGTCCAACTTGATAGCACACAACAACAACAGAAAAATATTAAGTCTGTATGTCATCAAGCCAATTCTATTCATACCTCTAAGTGACAGAGCAGCACTGATCTTTTGGTTAGCTGTTGCGTAGTTAACCATTGCACCATCAGGGCTTGTTAACCATTATTTTAGTTCTATCATTTCATCAGTAAAAACTAATTTGGAGTAGACTGACAAACTTCTGTATTTTTTTTCAAAAACAACTTTCTTGTAACTAAGTACAAAACAACACATGACCACTAACGAAAATTTAGAAAGCCATAGTGTTACACACTAAGTAACGGAGGCTTTTAACTAACAGATGGAGTTTTAACGCTCTGTCCTAATGTTAGTCTCAATTCTAATGGGTTAGGGAAAAGGTCATCTAAAAGCCTATTAACTAGAGATAACCCATTTACCTTGCCATGTTTCCTTCCAACTTTTCTTGTGTGTATTTATGTTGTTGACTGCCTTCAAGTCGAGGATGACTCAAAGAGGCCCTAAGAACAAAAGGCCTGAAGTCCCTCTACAACTATCAACATTTATCAAAGTTCAGCTTTTCCAGAGGCATGTTATTTAGGAAGTGGATGTAGCTCCTGCTTCTAAACCTGGCATAGTATGTTATTGTTGTTATGTGCCATTGAGTTGCCTGTGATGTGTAGTGACCCTATGTACAGCAGCTCTGAACCTTTCCCTGTCCTGTGCCAGTCTTACTAATTGTGACACACCAACTACCACTGTCCCAGTTACCATATCAATCCATCTCATCTGGGGTCTTCCTCCCTCTCCTGCGCTGTCCTTCCACACTTCAGACCATGATGTTCTTCTCCTAGGACCGATGTCTCCTGGCCACATACATGCCCAGAGTAAATGAGGTGGAGCTTCAAAATCCTAGCCTCCAAGGAGAGATTTGTTTTCCCCCTCTCCAAGACAGATCAATTTGTTTTCTTGGCAGTCCACGGTATGCTCAAGACTTCTCCAGCACCACAATTCGAATGTATCTATTCTTCTGTCACGATTAGTCACTGTCCAACTCTCTGAAGTATAACAAGTAATTGAGAAGACCATGGCCTGGATTAGGTGTACCTTTGTATCTAGACTGACAACATTGCTCTTCAGCACTCTGGAGAGGTCCATGACAGGAGATTTTCCAAATGCAATTTGCCTTTTGATTTCCTGTCTGCTGGTATTAAGAGTGTTGACTGTGGATCCGAGCAAGCTGTAA